CAGACACGTGCTTTGGAAAACCAGCTGGAAAATGGAGTGGAGGGTCTTGTAGGTGTTTCCCAGGAGGGAGGTGGCGTGTGAGCAGCTCAGACCCCGCGTTGCTGTTGGGTTTATTAATCCTGCACGTGCAGTTAAAGAACCTTTTTCTGAAGGGTCGTTGTAGCTGTACACACACACAGACACTTCTTAAACTGGTTTTCTGGGCTTCTTGGATCAATTAAGGGTGAGCAAAATTAATTCTTGTGCTATTTGGGATAAAAATAGCCTGTACCTGTGTGGTGCAGAGCCTGACGGAGGCCGGGGCTGCCGAGCCAGAGCCGCTGTGTGGGCTCCTCTGGATCTGGAACATCATCTGTTTTCCTGCAAAGTGATCAATCTGTAAACTCAAGCAGGCAGTGGTGGAGGTGGGAGGCAGGGGAGGGAAAGGAGCACATCTTTATTGTGTGCTGGAGGAACTTTGCTTTCAAGTGCTCGCTCAGGTCCTCTGGTTGTCACCAGGTGTGATGGCCGGGACAGAACTGGTCCCTGCAAGGGTGTTGAGCAGTGGGATGGGGGTGATGTCCCGCAGTGGCTGCGATGGGCAGGGTGGGGTGGGAGTAACCCTGCGGCTCTGCAGCTTCCCCCAGCCCCCTGGCCTTCCAGGGCCTTCCCCAGCCACACTCTGGGTTTCTTGCAGACGAAGGCTCTGATCGATAAGCTGCAAAAGCTGGTGTCGTCCGAGGGCAGGTTCAAGAACCTGAGGGAAGCACTGAAAAAGTGAGTGAACGATGGTTCTGCTGCGAGGGGGCTGCTCACCCAGGACCCTGCAGTGCTGGGGGACCTGGAAACCTGGATCCCACCCCACTCCCACCCTGCGGGCTGGGGCTCTGCTCATGAGCTCATTTCAGAGCTGGCACTGATGGGTGTCCCGTCCCGCCAGCACAGGGTAGCGGTTTGCAAAGCCCTGCTGAGAAACAAGCTGCTCCCTCGAGACGAGAACAAAAGGGATCACAAAGGGCAAATCATTGCCAGACGCCAGGAAACCTTTCACCCCTCACAGACTCATAGTTCAAACCCCCAAATGTGCCCTAATTA